GAGATAACATAGATTGGGCTAATTGGTAATGATTAACTTTTGTTAGCCTGGGATTGAATGTTGACATGTGCGTCTGATCAATCCGTGCTGCTGATGTCACTGGCTAGCGGTTGCCATGACAACAAAGAGAGGATGCTACAGCTCTTTTTGCTCCTGTCCCCCAAGAGATGTATCTGGCTAATGTGGCGGGAATTGCAGAATGAACTGTCTCCTCAGTGTACACAAACCCCCTCACCCACGCCCCCAACTGCCACACACACGCACACACACACACACACACACACACACACACACACAGAGTAATTTGTTTTCCTCCCTGAAGAATCAATTGACCTAAATAATCAGTGTTGCTCTGCTCTCAGTTGGCTGTACTTGAGACTCAGGGGATGATTTAAGCCTACAGCTAATAACCGTAAAGGATGCAAAATCTTACGCATGTTTTCACTTTAGCATCGTGTTTACCAACACTGGTGATGTAAATGGACACAGCCACCATTCGAGTTCATTTGAATGTGTGATAACAATCTAGTGCTGGGTTATTTTAGATTCATTTTGCACATCAGAAGTAATGGAGTGGAAAAGAAAGTTTAAATTCTGTGTGAGTGAGCCAATACCAGACACAAATAAAGACATTTCAGAACTGCAGGGAAGGCTGTATGGGAGGCTATTGGCGCAAGAAAAAGGTCAGTGATTGAGAGGACAAATTGTAATAACTGGGGAGTCGCATGAGTTGGAAGCTTGTAAAATATACTTAAATTCTCCTCTGACTAAAAAGTTATAAACACCCTCTTTTTCTGTCTCAATCTCCCTTCACCACATGGATGATGTCGCTCCTCCAAAAGAGCCACCATGTTAAGCTGTAAATTTTATGCCCCCCTCTCCCTGACCTTTAATCACAGAGACAATTACCTCTGCCTCTGCAATCAGCGATGATAAATCAGTGTCAACAGCCATTTGTATAAATTTCAATTCTCTTACATACAAACCATCCGAACAACCAAAGATTTATGAAAAAAAATGATTTTTTTGTGGCTTTTCTGCATCACCAATGTGAAATTAATCGCAGCCCCATGCTGAATATTGGCAAATATTATCTGACTCATTAGCTGTAAATCATATTAAATGGAACCCTCAATGTTAAAGGTCCAGTAGGAGGATCTATTTGCAGAAACTGAATATAATATTAATTTGTATGTTCAGTGTAGAATCACTTGAATATAGGATTCATTGTGTTTTCGTGGCCTTGGAATGACCCTTTTTTATCTACAGAAGCTGCGGGTCGCCTTCCGTATATTGCCCGGAACAGACAAGCCAAACACTGGCTCTAGATAGATTTTTTTGCGCATTTCACAGCCACCCGTTAGGAATCTGCAACACCCCCGCTAGATGCCTCTAAATCCTACACACTGGTCCTTTAAATTTGATGTTGTATGTATTTCATGTGTTGTCATTTGTCTCTTGTCCAGTCTCCTGAATAAATAATGATAAAAAAGTAGAAGAAGTTTTTTTACTAGAAGAAACATTTAATAAATTATACTTTCTAATCTTTCCTAAGCATCATCTGTCACAGAGTCCAGTATTAACAGAGTCAGTGGGTCATAGTTTTGGTATCCTGTTTTTCCTTCAGGATCTCTTCAGCAAGTCAGACCCATTTTTGGAAATATACCGAATCAATGACGATGAAACCGAACAACTTGTGCACAGAACTGAGGTAAATTCATCATATTCCCCTCTTCATTTGCAACATCTGTTTCTGCCACTTTGCTTCATATGTAATGTGTTCCTGCTCTAACAGGTGATTAAAAACAACCTGAATCCTGTGTGGGAGCCCTTCAAAGTGTCTCTCATATCTCTGTGCAGCTGCGATGAGGAGCGCAAGCTCAAGGTAATGTATCTTTAACAAATAACGAACTAAAGGCCTACCGGTTTTATTAAACTGGAATCAGAAAACAGGGCCAAATAATAAAAATGTATTACACATGGACTTAAAGGGAATAGGGGAGGGAAGGGAACCTTAGTGAATATTTGAGTGATAAATCAATAAATATGAATATTGTATGTACGCCCAAACCAATAGAGAGAAAGCAATAAACAGTTGTGTCTATGTGTGCTACAGTGCCTAGTGTGGGATTATGACTCCAGGGGGAAGCACGACTTCATCGGCGAGTTCTACGCCACGTTCAGGGAAATGCAGAAAATTTCCAGTGGAAATAAGGTCAGTGAACGGAGAGGCGGAGCAGAGCGGCGGAGAGACAGCCGTGTAACTGTTTCATCCATTTCCAATATGCCTCTCATTTGACTCTGCTGAAATCCATCACAGATGAAACAAATGCCATGGGGCTTAAGATATATCACCAATGTTCAAAATGGTGTAATTGTTGCTCTTGTTATTTGTCTTGTCTTGTCTCGCTTTGTTTAAGGTGACGTGGGATTGTGTGAATCCCAAGTATAAACAGAAGAAGAGAAACTATAAGAATTCAGGAGTTGTCATCCTTAGTGACCTCAAGGTAGGAGTCTGCTGCAGAAATATATCATGTTAATCAGAATAGTCAACATCGAAGGGAGTTGAACCAATCGGTGCTTTATTGTGTTTATTTCTTTTGTGTGTATTTTACATCATGAAAAAGGAATAAAACTCAAATATTCACAGATCTTTTTGTTGTATGGAACTGTTTAGTAATAAATGCTTGTTTGCATGTGTGCACTGTACATAGAAACAATCGTCTCATAGTACATCTGATTGAGAAAAGTTCACCACTGTTTACACCAAGGGTATTTTTAGTTTCTACTGTTTAGACAAGATATATCACAACATTCTTATTTTTTTTTACCCTTAACAGTCAACAGATTTGTTGAGTTGATTCTGTTTTAATTACCAGATGCTTCTGACAACCTAGCTGAATACTCACTCTTCCACCCAAACATCCCTTCTGAGGTTTTGCTTTCAACTCTCTTTTTTTCTTCCTGCAGCTCCACAGAGTGTACTCCTTCTTAGATTACATCATGGGAGGATGCCAGATTCACTTTACGGTAATTGAACGTCTATGTTGAGTGACACTTCACTATCATTGAGCTTTTAACTGCGCTGGCCCTAGCTTTATGAATGAATACTGTAAAATTCTCTGCATATTGAATGTTTTCTTAGCTCATATTGCTTATTGGTAAACAGACTTTGGTATGTATTTTCTTTGTTGGTTCATTAGCATGCATTTGTTAACCTTTTCTAACTTTGAAACATTACCCAATATTCAGTGGTTTAATGTAAGTACACTTACTCATGCACTGTACTTAAGTACAAACTTGGAGTATGTGTACTTGAGTATTTTCATCCCGTGCCACATATTCTTCTACTACACCACAATTCAGATGGAAATATTGTATTCTTTACTACATTTATCAGACAGAATTAGTTACTAGTTACTTTACAAATTAAGCTTTTGCATACAAAGCATATGAAAATGTACAAGTAGAGCTGAAAAAATTTGTAGATTAATTGTGGATTGATCGACATAAAATTAATTGCCAACTATTTGGACAAAAGCAAAACATTTCATTGTTCCAGCTTCTTTAATGTGAGATTGGCCGCTTTTGCATGTAATTGTCTTTTTCTTAAAACTAATTCTAAGGGTTTGTTGTAAAATCCTGCTTTTATATTACTGCATGAGTAATACTAAGCTAATGATTGAATATGTAAAAGTAGAACAGTCACACTAAGTTCCTTCACTTTTAAATTCTTAAGTACATTTTGCTGGTTATACTAACATACCTTTACCTAATATCTTGAATCCAGGTACTTGTAATGGAGTATGTTTACAGTGCGGTATTAGTATCTAAATACTTCCTCCACCACTGACAGTATTTTAAGATCTTTTTATCCTTGTAACATCCCCTGATGGTGTTTTTGTCAGTTTTTTTTCTGTTGGCAGCTTCATGCAATAAATTCAAACCTTCTTCAACTCCAGCGCTTTGGTTTGCCCTCCGTAGTTCTACCTCTCACTCTCTGGCTGCATTACTGAAGCAATGAATATTAATCATGAGGACTGCTGTGGTAGATGCTGTTCCTCTTTGTTGAAATAGCTGGCTGCTTGGATCTACTGTATATGGGAGCTGTAGCTGCTTCAGTCTACGTGGGCGTAAAAAGTGCAAATTCCTACCTCTGATCAGATAATTTATACTGCCATTAGACATATTGCAGGCTCGCTCACACAGAATGAGCAGCCAAACAAAAGCCTTTGTAAAGATTTTTAGTGCAAAAGAAAAACTTTATTGATTCTGTAATTTTCCTCATGTTACACACTTAATTGTTATTCTTTCTACCAGGTTGCCATTGACTTCACAGCCTCCAATGGAGACCCAAGGAACAGCTGCTCGTTGCACTACATTAACCCTTACCAGCCCAACGAGTACCTGAAGGCTCTGATAGCAGTGGGGGAGATCTGTCAAGACTATGATAGGTTTGTCAATCTTTTGTTTGACAGTAAAGGCTCTTTGGTGCCTGCAGGGATTGTCAGTCTCTCCTGTTGTGAAATAGAGCTGCAGAGTGCTCCTTGCATGCCATTTTTGTAGGATCTCGCACACTGAAGCGAGCCACTCCACACAGAAAAAGGATTGTAATGGAAATCATGGAGTATTGAATGGAAGAGACAATCCTGCAGGTTATTACATTTCTGCTCACCAGTTTGTTACAGAGCTGATGGAACTGAACTGCTGACCGCCAGCTCCTCCATCTCCAATTTCTTTCTTCACTGAAATGTGTTTTGCATTTTGAAACCTCCGAAATAGTGGAGGTACAAGCATCGATTGTCAAAAAAGCTGCCAGTTACTTGCAGCACGAATACAATCTTGTTTATTGTCCGCACCATGTTCACACTGTTACGTTAATTTAAATCTGTGTTAAGCCTGTGGCTAAGTGAGAGAAACTGTATTTAGCTAAATTAGAGCAAGCAAATGTGGCCTCTACTGGCATTACTTATGCATGAGGCTAATCTGGGGCTGAAGATGGTGCTTGGTAGCAGCAGACAAGGACACTGACACATATTCTGGACACACTCCTTTGTGGTTCCTTATTGACTAGCCATTTTTTCAAAGTATTCATTAATTTCCAGCTTTTAACAATCAGTCAGAAAGATGACATTTTGACCTTTACATCAGCCACAGGCATTTAAACCCTGTGCAGACATCAGTTTTGTTCCTGACAGATTTTTGGCATTTCTAAGCATTTGTTAATTTGTTAATTTTTTTTTCCGACCCATTCTAGTGTTACAGTTTGGGGAAAAAATTATTCTACAAATGCCACATCTCTGACATACTGAGGTTCACTGTAGGAAATAACGCAATAAAACAAAAATAGTGAACATTAAACAGGTAAAGGAATGCATTTTGTATTATAGTATGCTACATATAATACACTTCCTTTTCCTTTTGTTTTCTATATGGTACTACTGTGAAAATCCTTATTATTATGATCAAATCAACATCCTAGTTTTATGTAACTTCAATGTCTTGCCACATCATCAGTAAGTAATGTCATTTTTTAATTGTTGCTTGACTTGCTCCCTCCCCACGCTCCACTCAGACACAAATTGAAAATTGGTCCAGTTTGTTCGCAGGATATCAATCAAAATATCTATCAAAAACCTTGAACAGATTTCAAAGAAAACGAATATAAATACAAACAGGCGCTTGGTGTCTTCTACAAATACTGGTGCTCTTGAAGAGAAAAATAAATCATCCATGGGTAGCATGTGGCATAAACATCCAAGTGGATGGTTAACAATAAACATGAAGAAAGGAAATTGTGCATTTGTGAATTGTAATTTTTATGCCATAGGCCACCCGTGGAGGAGGGCATATGTTTTTCTTTCTTTTTTCCTTCTTCTTCTTGTGATTTCAAAGAAATTGGATGGAGATTTAGGCCATCAAGTATTTTGTTTTTGGTGGAAATCTTTAGGATATAGATTATAAGATACATCTTTATTGTTTATTACAAATTATGCAACAGTATTACTTAAAAGTAGATTAAGTCGGACATCTTGGTGGCCTAGTGGTAAAGATACATAACCCTCCCTCTCAATTTCAGTGTTTTGTTTCGGTTTATATCAACAGCATGTAAAGTAGATGAAACGTAAGATAAATTCATCCAAAATATTTTCGCACGTCCTTTGACTACTATAGAACCATATATTACTTGGTTAGATGACAAATGAACATAGTACAGTTTGTGTATAAAGAGGAAAGGCATGACTCTAGGAACTATCTAGGCACTTTAGGAATCATTGTGAGAAAACCATTGACAGTATATATAAAGAAAGAGAAAACACATACACATACACACACACACATACATCTGCATAATCTTGTGCTGTTTGTAAGTAGAAGTGCTTTGCATGTACTTCACAGTCTCTTTGCTCACAGTGGTGTCTGCATGTGCTTTCTCCTGTGGATAACTCAATGATACAGTTTCCTCTCAGCATCTGTTGCGGCTACTGGTCCTCCTTCTTAGCTTGCATAGGTTCATTACCCTGAACTACAGTCGAACACATGCAGAGATAGGTGCTAACACCAGGATAGCAGGCACTTCAAAAAAGTCGTGGGAGGCATTATGGCTGGAGAAATAACAGTGTCGCATGGAATCAGATGTTAAGACAGAGTTTTATCTTCATGTGAGAATTCCTGTTGCTGTAAATGTAAGTACTGACTGATATCATTATCAGCTTTTGGCTTGAGTCGCACACGTTTTTGCTTTTATAATTGTCTATTGTCTGATCAAGAACAAATAATAAACAATGTACAAATGTGCAGAAAACTATTATTTATATCAGGTAGACTTGCAGGTACTTGGTAATTAATGAGAAATAATTTATAATATGATACATTTCAGAGAGAGACCCTCTCATCTGTCGAAACTAAGCCAGATGAGGATTAACACTCCTGATTTATGCAGATCCTCCTATTGAATATCAGGGGAGCACTGTCTGGCTAATTATAGCATGCAAGAGATAGCACTGGAGACACTGAAAACCTGCCTAAAAATTAGTAGCTCAGCCTTGTAGCTTTATAATTTTTCTTGTTTACATATATACACAATAGCATCATACATGGAGACATGCCTCTGGGCGCACAGTGACTGCAAGTGTAGGCAGCCCTTCCCTCTCAAGTTGGAATTGTTATTTAGGTGTAAAACGTGGGCAAGCAAACCTTTTAGCCTTCAGTGAATACAGGTGATGTGGGATTTTAGAGTCCTAGCAGAGGAGTGCATTATGGAGCTGGAGTGATTAGCTTTTGTCTGTGTGGGCAGAGGCTCGTTTACCTCGCTGAGAGGACTATTATACCGGGCACATCTCCCTGCGGCTCCTCACATGTGCAGACAAAAAGTGAGAAAACAAGGACCACCATGCACTTCACAGCAAAATTCATATGATGAAAATGACTTGTCAGTAGTCTTCTCTTTCCTCTTGTCTGGGCTGAAGGTGCTATGTTAAATCTCTATACCTATCTTTTGATAATCTCTTTAGACAATTGTAAATTGCACATAGTAATCCATTCATCAAGGCTCCTACATGTATAAAAGTATGGAAAGAGTCACAAGGTTGGGATATTGGGCTTGTTACAAAATAACAAGAATACAATACATCTCAGAATAAAATTAGCTGAATAACTCCTTGTCCATTAAAATTTTAGAAATCATATTGGCAAAGCTGGCAAAAACTAATATAATATGAAAATATAATTTGCCTCTTCCTTTTATTTTGCATCAGTACAACACGGTTGTGCCTCAGTGTGTTTGAAAGGTCACAACAGTGGGAGTACAGCCTGTATTCAGTGGATGATGTGATTTTGATAAAATGGGTAAAAAGTGAGATGAAAACATGTAAATGTTGAAGGTGAGTTTAGAGAAAAGTTATCCTTTTATGCTTTTGTATCTGCTGAAATCTATTAATGTCTTTGGAATATTGTGACTGGAGTGTGTTTATATCTGGATACAGCACAACACATTAGCCAGGGCATGTGGAGAGGTTGCATTACAGAGAATAAACGTTGGACTCATTTACATGTTCCTTTTTTTTCTTGGAACAGAGGATAATGATGGTAACCAAATATGTGCTCAACATGGTCGATGTACAATATTCAATGGTGTTTTTGTAACTGAACTCAGATTTTGCAAAGCCTACAGGCTGTTGCTGTTACCATTGTCAGCCACTGTAAATATAATGCTGCAAGGTTCTGGGAAAAGACACATTATTTTTTTTCTCCTCCAAGTTCCTTGAGAAGGAGCAGAAATGATAATAATAATATTATACTTTTTCATTATCTGTCTCAGTCTTAGTGTATTACTAGTACAACACCAGCACTTACCACAACTACTAATTATTAGAACAACTAAAACGTCACAAAGTGATGTTGCTTCTGTCAAGAGTTCACTGTTATCAGTTTGTCATCAGAGTGTAAAAATCATCACTCTGCCAGTGTTTATATAAGTCCACACCCATCAGAGTTAATTAAACACTTCTGATAGCTCTGAAAAGCTGCCTCAAAGCCATATTAGTTCTATGAGTGGACAAACAACTCTCCAATCAACACTTGTCAACACACCAAATAAATCAACACTTAAATTAACACTGTAAACTTTGCTGTGTATCCTTTGATGCACCATGTCCAAAGCAAATGAATTAAGCACATAATTTCAAATGTTTGTGTCCCAAACTAAGATTCTGTTGAGCTAGAGATTTTGTGATTATATTTGCTATTGCACTGGGTTGGAGAATTTGGGGTTGTTTTGTCAGGCATGAAGGTATATACAGTAAATGTTCTGATAAGGGAGGCAGCCATTGGAGAAAGCCGGCTGTAGGCAAACAATCACTGATGTGACTGAAACAGGCTGTGACAGCTCTGCTGCCTATCCAAAATGCCACAAAGTCACAAAAGTGTTATCAGTTGAATGTGTATTTACAGCATGTCCTTAAACTATAGGGCATTAAAGGAGCACTCCAGGAATTTGTTTTAACACTTCCAGAAAGTTAGGGGACTTGGGACAGGTTTAAAAAACAGTGGTCAAAATAGTATACTTGGTTTGCTATAATGCAACTGAATAGCATCTTTTGTTAGACCCTCCCTGCTTTTAAAAAAGGAATTAAAATGAGTAAAATAAGTACACAAAAAATGCTAAAAGCACTATCAGAATAAAGAAAGGAAAAGCTGTTGATTTTACCATTAAGAACCACAAAGCAGTAAATTGCCTTTGTATTGCATTTTATTTTTGGCTGGCACTATACAATTGATTGAATCCTAGATGAATATATTCCACACAGCTACTGTATGTCATTGAACCATTAAGTGGGCAACTGCCTCACTCCCCAGTGTATCTACACGTACAGTATTCTCTTTATACCTCAAACATCATATTTGTTGTTTTCGACAGCTGGACTTCAGGGTTCAGGTCTTACTCTACTTTAATGCTTTCTCTACATATATAGATACACAAATAAAATACACAGCCTTGGTCTTGTTATTAATACACAACTGTGCATCATAGCCTGTAAAAAGGAGCACACAATCTGGCATAACAGAGCCTCTCACAGTAATATCTGTCCATCTAAGCGGTACGATGAAAAATGGAAAGGATAAAGACTTTGAGAAGCTCTTTGAACAGGTGCAAACGCTGGCTGCAGGGACCGTGGGACAGATTTCAAATTGTAATTCCAGCTTTTAACATTTATGAAATGCAAACAAGCAGGGGGTTTGCCCTTGGAAATGTGAACAGATGGATAAGCCATCAATATTTTTCAGATCACTGTCAAATGCTACCAGATTAAACAGCAGCATCTCTAATATATTTCTGATTAATTTGCTTATCGTTTCAGTGACAAAAGATTTTCAGCTTTGGGGTTTGGTGCCAGAATCCCTCCAAATTATGAGGTGAGTATCTCTGTTCATATCTCTGCTCTCACTGTTTTTCATGCAAGAACAATATGAACAGTATTATGCTCACTGTATATTCATGCACTCCTATCAAATCCTGTATTTTCCATCACCCTGAGACTGTAAGTCCTGTTGACGGTAAACAAGCTGATTTCCATTACCTATTTTATGACACAAATTGTCATTCTATCAAAATTTAAAACAAATTAAAACAAGTTTATTTTTATTCATAAGACCCTTGTCTTAAAATATCAACTTGTCTTGAGAAAATAATATGTTCTGATGACATAAAAGCCCCATAGTGTTGATGCTCAATTTACATAACAATTCATGAGTTTGAGAGCATTTGTTTAAGCAAATTGGACCAAAAGCCTTCAGTGATTCTGAATAGAGCCCTGGGGGGCCATCTGACATGTGAAGAGTCAATGTGTGTGCGCACACACTCACTCACACACACACAAACACACATTTTTGAACCACTATGATGTTTGATAATCTATCAAACCAGAATGGCCTATGTTTCATTTGAAATTATGTGCCGATGTGAAACACTGATAATTATCATTTCAATCATACAGATTTGCGCCTCAGTAAATATACACTATTAATTTCTGAATTCACCATGACAGTGACTGCCATGCAGGAGTCAAATTTATTTTATTTCATGCTTTTGCCACATTGTGGTTGGTAGTGCAGGTGAATGCTAATTAAGTCATTAGACTAATCATGAACTGCATCTATGAACTCATAGGCTACACCTGTGGATGGATGCAGGCTGTTGATTGCAGTGAATATGGCCTATGTTTTGTGTTAATTTAAAACCCTCTGTTATATTCTGTTATAAGTATTTGTTTAAAACTTTAGATTTTTATAACTAAATTTGCACCAAACTCAGCTAAAGTTTAGAAAGGCACACTCAGAAGAACAGGTATTATTTATTAAGAGTGTAGGGGTGCTTTCACACCTGATTTACAACTGGTTTTGTTTTGTTAAAACAGACTCTGGTGTGTTTGCCTGTTTAAACCTATATGGTGTGTTGCTGGTGTGATATCTGTCAGTCAAACTCTGGTGCTTAACAACCTTTTCAGGCAGTCTGATCCGGTCCAGTTATTTGCTTCCAAGTGGACACTGATGTGATTTGTTGGTGGTCTTGAAAGCCAACAAACCAACCACAGGATTTTATTATAGTATTATTGAATCCATCTGCTGATTGCAAACTGTTGCAATGTATATATTTAAGCACTTGCCTGACCTTTGAATGTAGGGCTTTTCCCTGATCAATCTGACCCAACTTGAATTAACTACTGGTGTGAACACCTTATGGTGTGAGTAACATAACACTCAAAAACTCTTATCTTAATCTGTTTCATCAGGACTGTGAGAGTGTGGTCTAATCATATTTGCTCACAACAAAATATTGTTTATACACTTGGGCAAACAGGCAAAGGCTAAAAGATAAGATATAATATTGAACGGCTGACTGTCATACAGTAGCAGGAAAAGCAGAGGTGTAACTAATAACATTACTAATGCTTAAGGATGCTCCATTCCATTTAAATGTCCCCATAAGCCAGTGAACCAGCCTGCACAATATCAGAGCCGTACAACTGGAACACCTAAATGGAAGACAACCATTATTAATGTCATTAGTTACGCCTGTCCATTTCCTGCTATGTCATGTCAGAAGGTCTGCTGTGAAACAGGCCTGTTGAATAAGATACAAAACAAGATCCTTTTTTTGCAGTGGCCCGATGCAAAAACTAAATTGTGGTCTGTTCTCTAGGGCTCCTCATATCTATCTATACAGTGACTGAATTCAGGCTGTTAATCACATTAAAGACAAAAAATACTTTTAAAAAAAAGTAGCCAGCTGGAGAGGAGTCAGTTGTCACTGATCTGGCTGACAGTTGGTGCTTGTGGAAAAAACGTTTTCTTGTGAGAGGAGGTATCAAGAAGAGGATTTTCATTTTGCCAGTTAAACAGCTTTGAGATAAACAAAGTCAATTTGACGTTTTGATGGCAAGAAAAAAACACATAAAAGAAGAGAGGTTGTAATCTCATTTCAGTAACCAGATATTAAGCATATAGTGCTATGCTCATGACTGTATAGTTTAATGAAGTTATGATTCAGGATATTAATACAAACAGAATGTAGTATAGACAGATCTATACATCACATAACAAAGTACTCACCAGAACATACAAGTGAGTTCCTTTTATCCAGTTGTTGAAATTGATTTTCTTTATTTCTGATTTCACTTCATTAGCCTAAATATATGCAAAACGTTAATGCAGTTAACCCATGTTTTTTTTACTTAAAAGACATATTTTCCATGCCTTTATAATTATTGCCCTGAATCATATTAATATATATATATTGCTGACTCTTACCAATTATGCCTAATAATAATGCCTGGTGGCAATCTGACTCCCAGAAAATTTTAAGGGGCAGTACTGTTGTCGATGTCATCAGAAATGATTGTCTACTTTCAAATTCAGGCTGAAAAGCTGTCAGATTGACTTGTAGAACACCAACACACCTAACTGTCCCAGTTTCGGTTTTGATCACTTTTGGTTGACTTGGTTTAGCTGAGCTCTTGTTTCAGTTAAATAATAAAAGTTACTTCTTCTTAACAGAATAGTAGCTGTGAATTACAAATTAGCTGTGTTTCTTTCTTTGTCCATCCACAGGTGTCACATGACTTTGCCATTAATTTCAACCCAGAGGATGATGAATGTGAAGGTAAGCTTAGGGCTTTGTGCACCCGTTTCCCTGAAAAGTGCATCTCTATGCTGATGATACTAGAATTAACCTCTGCTATCATATCCATAATGCTCAGCAGGTGCCTCATCGCAAATTTCAGGAAAATTAATACATGTAAATAAATGATGGATGTTAATATGACCCAAGAGTAAAGAAGAAAAACAACTCCTCTGTACCATTTTCTTTTTTGCATTATTGTGTATATTTTTGTACTTACTCAAGAGTAAGTTATAGTTATGTTTATGTTTTATTGTCTTTATGGATTTTATTACTGATTAGTTAATTAGTTTAAATACACATGAATAAACCAAAATATATAACTTTCCTTCTTTCAGAGGATTAAAGTTATGTGAGACAGAAAACGTATTCAGTCCTCTTATAATTCTTTGCTACGCTACGGCGAATGATTCATCTGACTGTTCCTTGTAGTTTACAATCGCTTGTTTACTAAGTGTAGATAACTGTTGATGTTTCCTTCACTTTACTCTGTGCTCTCTTTGATCAGAGATCCAAGGAGTGGTTGAGGCATACCAGAACTGCCTTCCTAAGATCCAATTGTATGGCCCAACCAATGTTTCTCCCATCATTAACAGGATAGCCAAGCTGGCAGCAGGCGACGGCATCATTAAAGATGCTTCTGTGAGTGTCCCTTTATACTCTATTAAAAAAATATATGGATGTAATACAATCTTTGTTGCTGTGCTTCCCACTGAGTTCCCAGAGAGAGTAGCCTCTGGTTCACCTCACTGTCTATGGTAATAATGCCCTACAGCTCAAAAGAAGAAGGGACCCATTATATACGGAATTAGTATTCTTTAAATAATGGATTGAGGTAATAAATTGCAGTACTGGTGTATTTTTAAACATATTTCTGCATTAACTCCAGTTAAAATGTGATTTAACACAAGTGGCTTATAGAGCTACTGTGCTCTTTCCTTAATATCCCTTTGGGAGTAAAAACATTTTATCTACTTACTATCTTAAATTACCCACTGGCTAAATGGACATTGTGTTCTAAACTATTATACTCCTGTAATTGCGCTGAAAGCCTAACTGTTCACTGTACTTCATTTACTAATCAAATAGGAATATTGAGTAGTAAAGGATTGCATGAAGTCCTTTACTCCTCAATATTCCTATTTGATTGAACAGTTAGGCTTTTAGGGCACACTTGTGTTTCAGTAAAACATAAGCACAGTCAGGTTACCAACAAACTAAGTACTATTCATGGGACCAATCAAAAGTGATTACAGTATATTGTGCCATGTTAATATTCTCGTACTGTATTACTTATATTACACTGTTCAGTAGACACATGAAATTAATTTAACACATACACGCATGCACAAACCTAAAATTTCACTGCTGTAGTTGTTCTGTCTTTTGATTGTAATACACTCCTTGTTTCTGTTCTTGATCCCCTTGTTTTCTGTGTAGCACTTTAACAAGGCCCATATGCACATAGACTTATCTACTCAATGGCGGCTGTAAAATTATCTAAGACAGCATGAAAGGCCTACTTCAGGCCACAGCACCCACTGAGAGGTGTCCTTGTTTATAACCACACGTTGCTGTTAAAATGAGTTAATGTTAACGTGGATTAATTCACACTGAAAGCTCTTATCTTCTTCCAGCGATACCACATCCTGCTCATCCTCACGGATGGAGTAGTGACAGACATGGCAGACACCCGTGAAGCCATTGTACGAGCCTCCTACCAGCCTCTCTCCATAATCATTGTTGGTGTGGGCAATGCAGACTTCACAGACATGCAGATTTTGGATGGAGATGACGGAGTCCTACGCTCACCGAAGGGCGAGCCGGTCCTCAGGGACATTGTGCAGTTTGTGCCCTTCAGAGACTTCAAAACGGTCAGTTCTTTTCTCTGTCAATCTTCACTTGTTGTCTTTCAGTTTCTCTTCAACCCCACTCCTTCTTACTGTTGTGCTAGATACTTATGGATGTCTTTTTTTACATTACACCACCCTCCCTGTTGAAAAGAGCAAACAGGAGGCTTTTGCTGGCTTTGCCAGTGCTACAGATGGGCATCATGGACTGGAGGAGAGCCAGAAATTTCTTCAAACACGAATGTATTCTAAATGTAGCTACATGCAATCAGTGACATTTCAGTTGTACAGTTATTACACTGTTACGTACTAGATGTCTCGTGTTCTAAACAAAAACATTTCCCAAAACATTACATATTTACTGTATACTGTATAGTTAACCTTATTATTAATTGATATACATCACTCATTATTTTAGGAAATAGGATTAAAGGAATCTTACAGTAAAAAAAAAAAAAATCATAAGTGCAAAAATATAATAACGGTACTCCCCCTTCCCACAAAGTGTTGAAGAAATCTAAACACATTTATTGCCTGCACTTGTGTATTAAATGATACCCTTTTGTAATGCGTGTTTTGCTACTGAAAATTGTTGTTGTTTTTTTAAACCATGCATACTAGTTTAACAATAAGAAATGAATTAAAAATATTGTGTATCTCAAATTAAAACTAATTTTAACAGTTGTTTTGACAACTCCAGCTGTTCTCTGTCTTTATTGCAGGCTTCACCTGCAGCCCTGGCCAAATGTGTTCTGGCAGAGGTGCCCAAGCAAGTAGTAGAGTACTACAGCCATAAGGCCATCTGCCCTATGTGTCCTGTGAGGGACTTATCAACCCCCATCCTCAGCCCTGTTGCCACAACCCCAACAGAATAACCATCCACTCTGATCCTGGGACCAAGCTTTGTCCGCAGCTCCAGTCCGGCAAACTGAGAGGGAGAAAGGACGCATGCCTAGCAATTTTGGACAAGGACTGAAGAGAAAGTCTTTATAAATGTGTTGTTACTCATTTATTTAATTTTCCACTGCTATCAAAGTGTTTACACGACAGTATGACAAAGACTGTGGGTTTTTTATTTCTCTGCTCAGTGTGGATCCAGCACTTTTCCCTGGCTGTGCAAATTGACCATCCAGCTGTTTAAGCATCAGGAGTCCTGGAAGATTGTTTTTTCCCCTATTTTTTATGCATGCAGGCCAATCCCTCAGTGCTGATCCATCGATTGGATGCAGGCTTATTATTCCTCACGGCCCATGAAATTCAGCACCTACTACATTACAGTTTTCCTATATTTTATCTTCAGATAATTTTGAAGATGAACTGTACAGTACTATGTTGCAATCAAAATTAGATTGCTCAACTTGAACAACTGATAATATTTAATCCAGATGTTACATATAAATCACACACATAAAGAAGAGATGCTACATTCAGAGCTGTTATTACATTTACCTTCCCACATAGTCATATATGTACTTACGCTTGTCTGGCTGCAGGCTGTTGCCGTTATTTTGAATTATTATTATTACAATATTCCCAGACACACGCAAAATAGAAATCAACTATTATAATCTGTTGCTAAGATTAAAAGATATTTTCCAAAGTGCACCAGCATTAACAACGAAGGTCACCAACCCCACCAGCAAATACAAAAGCAAACAATGCTGGGTATGTTTGGCAGTGAAAGGGTACAGGTTGACAAGTTAGTGTAGTCTGTGTAAAATAATTAGCTAAATAACAATAATTATCTAACAATTAATTAGCAGTGATTATGCCTTTTTTTTAAACCAGGTGAGGAATGCAATGGAAAATGCTTGTTTAGTTATGACATGTCACCACTTCAGACCTATTCACCTTGTGCATCTGTGAAACTGCAAGTGACCTAACAATGTGTAATATTTGCTATAGCTGCAGCTCTATGTATGCCTTTTCAGCTACAACAGGGAGTTAACAAGTCACACCAAGACAGAAAATACAGTCGGCTGGCACGTTGAAGTAGGAGATATGTTTGGGTTGCTGTGGCTGTGCAGTTAGCTTTTAACAAAGCCTAAATAACATTTTTCTCCAAACCAAGATGAATGATTGCACCCTATTTTTGGTCTTTTGTAAGGTTGCTATGGTTTAAGCTGGGAAAATCTTGCTTCATGTCAGGTGAATCCTTTCCCTTTGAATTGTTTGTTATTGCTGTCATTCCTGAGCCAGCCGTCACACAGGTAGCATTCTTCCAGTTTTCTGCCGTATAGTTCATTATTTTTGTATTTCTGACGCTTTTTATATGCAATATAATTCTACTCGATGTTTCATAAGGAATTAAACTGCTGAGCACACAGTTTAGATCAAATAAAAGCACAAAGCTGATCACTATGAGTATGTCCATTAAAGCATCAATGGAATTAGTTGTATCTGTTGAATTTACATCTGAATATTATATATATTCAGAAAATCAACAAAAAAAAAAAATCACTAATACCAAATTAATAAACTTAGTAAGAAAGTTTCTTACCATAAAATTAGTATTAATGGTTTTCTCATTATTGCAAATGTGCAACTCCAGAACAAACAGTTTCTTTTAAGGCTGTGCCAGATTGTCGCCATAGTATAGAGCATAGCCTGTAAGTGTCATGTTATCGCCTCTTTATTTTCAAAAGGAACATGTTATTGCTACAGACATGACATGCAGGCTGCCACTGAAATGGACTCTTGAAAGCAAAAAAACAAGTTGCCTGTTTGAGATGCTGTTTTTTTTATTATAAATACCTGTGTGAATAGTGACGTCTTACCAAACAAAAAAGGAAACATAATGTGTCCAACTCACATGTAATTACATTTTCTAGGAGTGTGGAAAAAGTCAACTGAAAGTAACAGAGTTGAATTGACTGATTGTTTTCATAGTTTTCAAAAGGCATCCTCTTGGAATTTCAACATTTTTATCACTTGTGCAAGGAACCTTGAACCCCCCACTCCATCTTTATCAAGAAAATATTTCCAAAATATACGTTTCACCTCAAAAGTAGGTGACTGAACATTAATTTGTCAAGCATCCTTAAGCGCTTGAATTTAAAAACATTTATAAGGTTGGAATTAAATATAAATCACATAAAGTCAAATAAACAAATTCTTCACTGTAATGCCCTTGGTTTTTGACTGCATATGCAAACTAATCTGTTGTGTTAAAGTACAAAAGGAACTTTCCCGATACAACACAAGCTTAACATCCCCTGAAAGTATAACATTTGATCAATAAAGCTCAAACATAGTTGCCCAGCAGTCTGACTTAAAAGCATAAGAAACATAAATCCTCCACTGTTAATGTTCACAATGCAGTATAAACCCTAATATTGTTTTGTTTGGCCTGAATGTACATTATCTGTGGCTTGTTCTAGTAACAACTCTATACTTTGTATATTCGCTTAGTGTTTTTGCATTTATCTTATATGGTGTATTTATGCTCTGAACAATTCTGAATGGTGACTAATTTACTTGGCTGAAAACCAAGCTGTTCCTGCCATTAAATGCATTGGAAGGATATCTAGTCTTTGCAGCTATTCTAACATACACATATCCGCCCCCAAGCTACAAATATTAATCTGACTTTGATTTGTCCTCTAGAGCTTCACCAGCTCTCCCAAGATATAGACTATTAACTTCTCATGAATGCACCTAAACACAGTTTGCTCTGTTTTCGGCTGCTCTCTGAACTCCTTTGAAGACCACAACTATTGAGGATTCTTCTGCCACTATGGGTCACAGGAGGAGGCCTATTGATTCAGCAGACCTAGATCTGGAGCCACACTCAGATTCTTGGATCTAAATGATCCTGGAGGGACTTTGGTCTCACGACTCAAGCACAGTTCCATGTGACTGGTTCACAACAGGGAGGAAATTGATTAAATAATTAGGAAACATTCTTGTGAAATAAACAGTATTTGACATTATAGGTTATTTATTTGGAAACCTTGTGCATGATAAATCATTTCTTTTTGTATTTACACATCTTAATACAGTCTTGCATACCAGCTTTTTCACTTGTAAAAAATGCAGTATGTCAATGTAAGGATTCCTGATTCTCAAAAGATTTACAGCGCCACACAATCGCCATTCTCACGTGATAATTACTATCACAAAAAAGTGAAGCATTTTTGAAAGCCTTTATCTGTTAAACCAATTTTGTGCTTTCCCATAAATCTTGACTACTTATTCTGACTAAATATGAATAAGTGCAGATATCAACCAATATTTCTGCTCCTTGAGGGCAAACCAGCTGAGATATTAATATCTAAAAGGCATCGGCACTTCTTCTTTGATTCGTGCCTTACATGACAATTCACTCTTTCACCCCTATTACCTGTATCCCCGTATTGCTACTTTTCCTCAGGTTATGAGCTGCACCAGCTCAAATGGTTCCCTGTTCTCTTAACATTTTTATGAGATACAATTGATAGATGACTGATCTCAGAACAAACAAAATGTTATTTCTTTATGTAATAAGTAATTTTTAAATATGTTGAATTGTTTTTATTATCAATTAAGTAATGCAACAATGCCAAAATAAGTGTTTTCTCAGTTCAGATATCAATACAATGAGCCATGCAAATGTTTTGTGCTCTTCGGGGGTTACCTGAATTACAAAATGTATTAGATGTCATATAGTAATACATGTTAAACAGTGATGCATGGGTCTTTATGCCTCACCAGATTTGCCAAAACAAATAACTCTTCAGACATTTTTCAAAAGTTATTTCAATTCTTTATCTTTTTCATTAAGTGGCACGTTTCATTGCAATCAATTATATTCAAAGAATATAATTGTGTGCTTGTATGTAAGAGCTAGCTAAACCCAAGTGCACAGCCGTTTGGTCTCATCACTTTAAACATCTTCATGGAGAGAAAAAAAAAACTCTATTCATGTCTTAATTGGAAACCATCATTTGTGCCACAGTGGTGCAAACAACAGTGAGCTGAAACACTGGAGACAATAAGACCACAGTTCATGTGGCCATCTTGCACTGCGGATTAAAAAAAAGCTGAGAAGAATTCACTGAGCTGCTTATTTCCCCTTATCTACTTGCACCATTGTCAGACAAAATTAACAACGTTTTACACCACACTGATGTATTTTAAATTTCCCATACACACACTTTAACCCGTCCACTGTTAATCAGAACAAGGTTTACAGCCCATAACCTTAATATGCAACTGGTGTAGCTGCAGGCCGTGTGGGTGAGAAGCAACCCATGCATCATTAGTAAATATTTGATTTCTTGAAAAGGAAGAAAGGGATTTATTGCATGCTTACTTTTATTGTTAAGCTGTGCTGTACAGTCATTCCTTTGGGTTTTATGATATGCTAATATGCAAGCCTGCATTTGCACAAACCTCTGTTCTTGTAGTTGATGCTCTCTGTCTTGCAGTTAGGTAAATAAATCTCATTATTTAACTGAAACTGTCTCTGTGATTTGTTATCATATTTAATGACATTTTAATGATTTTGTCAAAAATGATATATTACATCTGTCTGCTTTTGTCATCCAGTTCCCTCTGATCCTACTCACTCATCTTGGTGATCATCTCACAAAAAAATTTCTCACAGCGCTATACCACTGTACAGGAGAGATGAATAGAAATGAGAGCACGGTATTGTGCTTGATGAAATGTAGGTTATGCTATCATGTACACATTTGCCCTGTGTGGTTTGGCTGCCGATGCTGTGAGTACTTATTGCTCGGAAAGAGGGACTGAGCCTACTCTTTAATTCCATCAGACAGCTCCTTTCATTTAACGGCTATTGTTGAGAGCACTGAATAACGGTTGTTTCCATGGTGACACCTACTTGTGGGGAGACGTAGACCTTCATTTTTGTCAGATTCAGGGACAAAGATGCAGGATGTGGTGAGGGCTCTGGGAGGAGGCCATCCTCACATTATTATGAAAAAGAGGAGGCTTTGATGGCCTATTGGTGATGGCTGCTGTCCTTTGCAAGGCCACTGAATGTCCAGCGGGGCTTTGAGCCTTAGGTGAGCTCTGTGTTCAATATACACAGTCCCTCTCTTTCCCTGTCTCTCTGTTTCTCTCACTCCTATAACCCTTTTTGTGCCTGGCCATCTGATTTATGGCCACAATTAAAGGACACTCACCACCGCTTAACATTCACAGGCAATAAAATCAACAGCAGACGTGCACCCTGGGACAAGGTGCTGTTGTTTAGTGGAATCAGCTCATTGCTTCCATGTTGTCAGATTACCGTTAATGCCTTTAAACTCAGCTGGGCTTCCCTAACACTGCTAGAGCTGGGAGGTCTAGCTGGAGGCATTGTAAAAACAGGAAGGACAGAGGAGAAATTGGTTTTATTCTCAGTGGCTGGTTGCCTGTAATGAGGAAATGACTAATAAGAGATGGAGAATGGGAAATCTCAGTAGTAATTAGCTGTCTCCTCCTTCCCCCGAGGGAACAGAAAACACCTTTGAAATGCTTCCAACTAGCTCCTCTGATGTTGTCTTTCATATGCTTTCTATCCCCCAGTCATTCGGTGCATTTAGTGTACAGCACACACTTGTATTTAATGATGTATATACTCACACCCAAACACACTTTGAAGAATGAATATATCCCAAATAAATAATGATATAGAATCAAGATTCACACACACTGCTAAGGAAAAAGAGAAGACACAGCTCCACAGAAGGGACTATAGTTGTGATTTTTAGTTGAGTTTAATTGACCCTCTGGGAAGTTATACTACTATATCATAGTTTTGCCTTGTGTCGCACATATTATCTCACTCTCCTGCTCCCTCATGTGCTCCATTCATATTCTGTCTCTCCTTTCTCTCACACACACATTTCAATTTTCACATTAATTTTGTGATTCAACTTAGTCATTGTCATTGCTTATGAGAAAACGAAACAAATCAAAAAAACCTCACTATCAGCATTCAATATGAGTTCTCCCTTTACATGGGTATTTAAGTACATTTCCACATCATAATATTGGAGAAAATAAAAAAAACAAGACTAAGAGTTGGCATGCCATTATGCTCATAATGATAACGCTAAAATACAGATTAGCAAGTAATGTTTACCATGTTCACCATTTTAGTTTACTGTGTTAGCGTGCTAAATATGCTAGTTCACACTAAACAGAAAATACAGCTGACGTTGATGGGAATGTCATTAGTTCTGCATTTGACCCAATGATGCCACAGGATAAAGTTTAAAAAAAGGGATCATCAAAGTTATTACAATTCATCAGTGGAAGGACATGAATGTCTGAATCAAAATTCGAGGCAATCCATTCAATGGTCGAGACATTTTGCTCAAAGCCAAGTGTCAGTCTGAAGGTGGCATTAGAGGAAAAGTCAGGATTTAACATCTGGGGTCTATAAATGTCGGCACCAAATTCCATGGCAATCCATCCAAAGGTTGGTTAGTTATTTGAGCCTGGACCAAAGTTGTACACAGACCCACACCACCATCTCTCACTAGCATTGCTACAGGATAATCAGTCTGCTTATAAATTCCCTGCAACTTGGGGGCCCTCTTGAAGCTTGGTAGGTCACCTGGAAGAGTGCTAACCAAATATCAAGGCTGAGTCCTTGCTCATATCTGGCCTGGGCCCTTTGTTGCGTGTCATCCTATCTCCCCCTGCCTTTCCCGTCTCTCTCTATTGTCATTATCCAAACTAAAGCAAAAGGAAAAGTAATGCACCGAGCAGAAAGATGAGCTGGCTGTCAATCTATAAATATGTTGATTTCTACACAAAATGTTTCATCCTATGTCAAAATGTAAACAAGAGGGACAGGTTTTTACACTGATGTATGATGTATGAGCAAGGTTCAGTGTATCACAAGAAGGGTCTCTATGAAAAGGAAACTCTCCTCTGGGAGTCGGTCTACTTGTTTGCAGAGGAATTAACAGCCTTTTCACACTGTAGGACATTCAGATGTGGCTCAGTGACTTTTGTGCCTCAGTCCCAGTCTCCTCTGTCTATGTGTCTGACACCCACATATATAGTAATTTAATTAGGCTCTAGAGTGCCTTTTTGACCAGCTGGACACAGCAGTGCTCAGTCTCTGCTTCATAAACCTCCTTTCATAACTGCAAAACTTCGACTATGGGGACCAACAAAACCTCACACCCTTTTGTCCCTTGACCAATATGAAATTAAACAACTGATCCACATGTGGGAATCTTTGATGCAGTGGAGCCACAGCACCTGGGTGTAATTAGTAAAGAGAGCAAGGCAGGCACCCCAGGAGACGGATTGAAAACCCATTTTATGGCAACATTTTCTGTATTGCGCTTACAGTAGAGCACCAGTCTTCTTTTCCCATTTCTGATGGAACAAAGCAGCCAGAAGGTTTGAGACATCAAAATAATTCATCATAATTCTTGAGGACATAAGGTTAATAGGTTAGAAGCCTGCAGTAGAGCTGACTGTTAAAACGTTTTTGGTAATCATCATTTCATACCATCTGCTTGGTTGAGTTTTGTTAGATGTTAAGACTGGCACATTTACTGTAGTTAGACTTGTTTATGTGTTGCCTGATATTCAGTCTCATTGCTCAAGGTAGCAGCTTGCTAACTTTCTGGCAATGCCAAGAGAGTCTGTTCAAACCAGAGCAACAGACAGAAATTATGTTTAAATTGCCAAATCTGTCTCATCTCATGCAGCTTTAGTGTGAAACTTCACCACTTTGGCAAAAAATGTGCCAAAAGCTATGGATTTTCAGCATTAAGTTGTATGTCTTGTAAAAATAAAAAAAATGGATGTGACAACATTTGTGGCACAGGAAAAACACATTTATATGATCCAAATGTAATATTAAATTAAATTTTTTTTAATTTTCCATGTTGAATTCTAGTGTTCAGCCCGCAGGGTCCTTTAATCAAATAAAGACAAGAAATAGTAGAATGATAGTAGAACAGCACAATGATAAATTATTATGGAGGCAAAACAATAGTGTACAGATTCTAGACTACTCTCTTTCTTTCTTTATAGTTCTTGTTTTTATTTCTTGTTTCTTTATATTTCTTCTTTTTAACGTGTACTTTGCCATTTGGTGGCAGCAGAAAAAAGTTGGACACAACATTGACATATTATAACCTTTTCAGTTATGGCCAACTTATAGCAAACAGTTGTACATTTATCAATAAAATATCAATCATAGCTGCTTCAAAGCTCTTTCAATTACTGTTAACAACATAAAAAGAGATGAATATTGTTTTGCTGAACAGTTTAGCGCTCTGCACATGTACCATCGCCTGTGGCAGAGTCATGATTAGACATTAGTATCATTGGTGTTAAATTGTTATGACTAAAACATGTTGAGAACAACTGCTATGGGCAATGATGTTATCCACAATACGTAGGCAGCAACATGGTAACCACAAAGATGCAGCACCTGCTGTATGAATCAATGAATCAACCTGCATGAAAGTATAATACAAACCATGACGAGCAGAGAAGGACAATTTTTCCCTTTGAGTTTTCTCATACAGTATTAGATTCTCTTGATCTCCATCTTTACTTTTTTATTAACGCCTGAAAAGTAAAGATGGAGATCAAGAAGTTTCACAATTTTCTTTTAGCAACAATGTAAATTTATTTTCACATTAATTCCATGTCAACCTTTTTGAATTGATTTGAATTACACAGAAATAGATCTATCTACATCAAGTTATTTACTGGTTTAAAAAGGACTCTAGGAGTGCTGTATTGGCTCAAAGTGGTGAAGAAATGTCAAAATAGAGAGATAAGATATCAATAACTCATGCAGTATTATGTCACAAGAAAAATTCATACACTGAATAAAAAGAGGGTCATGTTGCAATATTGGTCTGTACTATCTGTGTGTAATGCAATGGCTACTGTGGGGTTGCTAGTAGATGTAGCAAGTTGAAGGTAACAATGATTCTTTGGAGACATTGCTGATTTTCTGGTCCATGATGATGATTGGCAATTATGTGTTAACCAGGTTAAATGGGCTTCTGTACACACTCATGCTAATCGTGGGAGTTGGAATTAGGATTGTACATGTGTGCACATTTTCACAGTGATTATGATTCATTCAACAGCGAGTTGGTAGTGCAGTTCAACATTTGGGTTGCATGATTAGAGTTCACTGAATAAACTGTCACACACAAATTTTAGTCAAATACTGTATATTCGTATGTGACCTATTGAACTAAGTTTGATTAAAATGTGGGTGATATATCAACTCATGCAGTGGCAATATAATGTCTGGACATTTTGCAATAAACTATTTAATGCCACTGGTTATATCTTCTAGGCCTTGTTATTAATTTGACTCATTTCCTCAGATAAGTGGCAGACAGTGTGACCTCATGTTCAGACATTTCCAGCTACATTGGAGATTAGTAAATCTTTCAGCC